AGATGGGCTGCACAGATACCTTTTATTTTTGTTCCGAACATCTGAGAGTCTCTATGGGCCCAGGGCCCTCAGTGTAGCACCTCCCCTCCCCTCTCAGGGAGGATGTGGAAGCACCTGTGGGATGCTCCCTGCTGTGAGCTCAGGCCAGGCTGACGCAAAGCCATCATGCTCCCTCCCCACCAAAATAGAAGGGCCAGGAGTCAGCCCCAGGGAGGGGCTACAGGGAACCCTTTGAAGCAATAAGCAGCTGTGGAGGGAAGGCTGAGGGGGGGCGGCTTTGTTAATATTCGAGGTGGCAGCTGTAGCAGCTGCCTGCGCCAGGCAGGGACATCTCCAGCCCAGCTCAGCAACCACGGCCTGGGAATGGCTCATGCACCGCTGGGTGCGATTGGGCCAATCATCTCCACCCTCCACCTCAGTTGTCTTTGCAGTAGTTCCGGGGACTTTGTCTAGCTGGCCTCCTGGACTCCTTCCTTTGGTGAATTCAAGATTCACATCCTTGACCACTTGCTACAACCCCCCCTCCCCCTCAGCACATCCCCTCATGCACTCTGGGTGGGGTCTAGGCCTGGCTGGGCCCAGGACAAGGGGAGAGACTGTCTCTGGAAAGCAGCAGGGTGGTGGTGCGGGAAGAGGGGTTTGCCTGGAGCCTCTTCCGGAGAGAGGGGCTGTGGGGATGGGGTGGGGGGTGGGGGGTTCTGGGGGTGGGATGGGAAGGTGAGATAGTCTTGATGGGCGTGGCCTCAGCCAGGATAGGTAAAAACTCCCCAGGCTTGGACTGACCCCCTTTGGAGAGGGGGCTGTGCTAGTGTTAGCTTAGTTCCTAGGGGAGGGGCCAGGAAAGGGAACTTGGAGGAGCTTGGAGCAGGTCGTTTGTCAAGTGCATGGAAGCATTTCAGCTCGTTGACAACCTGGTGACTGAGTCTGCAACATGCAACAGGGTCTGTAGCTCTGCCTGTGGGGACACAGGGACAGAAAGGCCGCAGGACCTGGGAGCCCTTTCTCATCCTTTCCGGCAGTGCCACCCCTGAAGAGAGTGGGGTGCGTCACTGTTGTCCCTTGGTCTTCTGCTTTTAGGGTACCCCTTGGCCCCCCACATGGGTGCGATGAAGGGAGGCCCCCCCTTGTACAGAGCACTTGTCCATCAGCTGCCCTGGATAGGGACCTGCTGCCTCAGTCCTGATGTTACAGGGCACCCCACTGTGAACTGGGTGCCTGTCTGTGGGTCCTCATCCGCACGCTTAAGATTCAAACATACTGGCCCTCCCTGGTGGCGCAGCGGGTTACAGCACAGCACTGAGAATCTAAAGCCGCTTCCCCATGAGTTCAATTCCTGCCTGCCCAGGAGGTGACCACATGGCGCGGCAGACC